CAAATGCATTCAAAATTTACATTTTTTTTAAATTTAAATTTTCTAACGCGTTTAAACGCGTTAAAAATTAACACATCTAAACGCGTTCACTTCTAACGCGTTTTTACCATAAAAATGGTGCAAAACCGACGCGTTTGACGCGTTAGTTAGTAACGCGTTTAATCGATGTTAAATTAGACGCACCTAAACGCGTTCATTTCTAACGCGTTTCTACCACAAAAATGGTGCAGAACCGACGCGTTCAAACGCGTTAGGAACTAACGTACATAACGCGTTTTTGTAGCAGAAAATGACGCCATGGGTACCTTCTTAAAGAAGGAAAAAAAGGTTAATTTCCAGATGATCATGCAACCAGAGAGTTGAACAGTAGCGGAACTAACCTGTCGGATCTGGTTAGTAATCATTTGTCGTCATTTCGTTTATGAACGATTTGTTTCCGGAATATTGTAACGTCCATTTGTGAATGCATTTAACTGTTGTTTAAAAAACACAAAATTAAAATAACATCAAAAAAATGAAACAAAAACATAATTTCAGATAAAATAAACAAAACCGTTTCAGTCCTGAAGAACTATCATTAAACATTTCTACACGATCAGAACAATCGCATTTTGTGCGCAAAAACTATATATTCTTCTCCACGCACCTTTTCGGTTTTGTGATTGTTAAACAGTTCTGATCAGAGATCTATCTATGCTTCGGCTGTAGCATACCGTTGAAAAGAGTTTAAAGGTTTATTTTTCTTTCGCAAAGGTGCTTTGCTTATTGTATGTAACTTTTTGAAATTACAAAATGTCTCGGTTAAATTTAAAGCTTTTTATGTTTTAGCTTTTTTATCAACAGCTGTCTCTTTCTTCTTATCTTGATCGACCAAAGGTGCACGCAATTTTCTTAATTGGTTCATTATTTCTTCTTGTTCCGTCTTATTGTCAATGAAACCCCAAAACCATGAACGTTTACCAGCTTTGAAACTTCTTAGAATGTTGCATAATGCATCGAAATCTACCTGTGGCATTTTCATCATTGTATGATGCGGATAAAACGCTTTAGCTCCTTTCAATATAACTGATTCAAACACTCGACGTCGACTTATGCGTGCTTTTCGTTGCAAATAGCGCACAAGTGATTCATCCTTGTCACATTCAGCTATGTTTGGAAAGGATGTGTACGTAACGGTTTCTACCTCTTTTACCATAGGCAAATCCTCCAAAGCTTTTAACTCATTCCAAAAGTTAAGAATTGTATCATCACTCAAAATATCACAAAATGTTAAACAAACGATAAAATTCTCAGGGTTCGCACCGACCATTTTAAAAAAGTTGTACAATATACTCAATTCTTCGCTCATTTTAGCCCGTAGACGATCCATCTTGAAGCAAAATACTATCTTGTCAATTTTCGATAAATCTTTTGGCATCCACTCAATTATTTGTTTTAAAATTGTTGGGACGTCAATATTGTTGTCGCCTAGACCAACCGTATCGAACAAATTAACCATGTATTCATCCTCTGGATCATTGGGATTCACTATTTTTTTATTCGAATACATGGTTATATTTTTTGTGACAGATCTAATTGACATTTTCGTCATATTATCTGTCTCATCAGTGCTTGAGCATAAACTTTTGATTATTGAGCTTTTACCGGAACCAGTTAAACCAGCTACTAAGATATTCAAACTTTTGATTGTTTTGGTTTCTACATCTTTGCCATCATCATCATAGTTATTAAACGTAATTGAAGCCATAATTGCTTAGAGCTAGAATAACAGTATAATTCAACTGTACTTCTTGGTAAATACAATCTCAATACCCAACGTAATTTAGTTGAAGATCTCACGTGTATATGGCAGAACAAACTGATAAGCAGTGGCAATCCTGTCAAAGCAAAAATTTTTTGATTCATACTTGTAATTGCAAAACCTAACTCTGCTACCAAAGTGAAATTCTGTGACGAAATTTTGACATTTTGCAGTGTTTATATGTTTTTAACGAAAGCACATGCCGTGCTGTAGAACGTCTAAAATTGCAAAGCAAATGTTTCTCTACGAAATGAGGCGTCTCAAGCCTCTGTACGTTTCCTTGTTTAAACGATAAAAGGAAAATAGAAAACATCCTTCTCACGCTTCATTTTCAGACAGTAGCATTTAGTATTTACCGTTTATTATTTAAATAAAGAAACACATAGACCTCCGAGACGCCTTATTTTGTAGAGAAACGTTTCCTTTACAATTCGAGAAGTTCCACAGCAGTGCACATGTTTTCGTTAAGAACATATAAACACAGCAACATCTCAAAATTTCGTCACGGAATTTCACCCTAGTAGCAGAGTTATCTGGCCGTGCCGAAAATATTTTATGTGATCCGATTGCGTAAACATCAAAGCAAGGTTGGAGGCAGTCATTTCTCACATAATCTGCTTAACTGAGGCTCGACTTTTCTACCCAAATTTTTGCAGGAGGTAGCGGCAACATATCCAGGAAGTCTCTGAAAACTTTTTAGGTGAGACTTATTCTACTCTAAACTTATGAAATTTTTCGTAAAAGCTCTAAAGACATTAAAATGATAGCTATATAAAAGTGAAACTTGTAATATTTACATCTCGGTCTAAAAAGTAGCTACAACTTAGGATGGAGTCGAACAAACACGTTTATGAAAGAAATACAGTTAGTTTGACCAAAAAGCATAGAATACGTTATTTTTAGATCATTGAAATTGTCTTTTGTTATTACTGTACAATTTCCTACACATTATTTATAGATAACAATCACTAAGATTGAATGAAATGGAAGAGAATATTCCTAGTATTTGGAGTCGCGTTATGACAACTAACTCAGTTAACGTCTCGAGAAAAACATTATCATTTGTACGTCGCCTTGACGAATATTGCATCATTTGAACTAGCAAAGGCTATGCTTGTAATCGGAATAAAAGTGATATTATGTCGGATAAAGTGAAGTACTGCAAGTTTACGAGAGACAAATCTTAGTTAACACTTACCAGTTACAGAGCCCGAAACAAAATGAATTCGATTCGATCCAATGTGACTGGATCTTTTAAAAACCAAACTCTGCTCGAATCGAATCGAATCGAGTGCTGAATCGCATTCAATCCATTTTAGTCATTTATCAGTTAGCCTACCACTAATAAAATAATGACTTTTACCTGTTTAGTGTTCTTGCTAGGCAAAACAACGTTCCTTTACCAAATAATTTTTAAGGGTAATCTACAAGTAATAAACAGTGTTTATTGCCTTCTTGTTGTGTAATTTATGCATTTTACTTGTGTATTTTTATACACGAATAAAACAATAATAAGAAACAATAAAAAGAAAATAGTTTTGCTGCTACTACGGCATCCTATTCTATGACTCGCATGAATACATAAAGTATCTCGCCATGTCAGACATCCCTTGATGAACGGAAAAACACTTCGTTCTCTTTGTCCAAGAAACAATAAAAAGAAAATAGTTTTGCTGCTACTACGGCATCCTATTCTATGACTCGCATGAATACATAAAGTACCTTGTCATGTCAGACATCCCCTGATGAACGGAAAAATACTTCGTTCTCTTCGTCCAACGATGACTTAAACAGCAAAAAACATAACCACTGATCGAAGCATTTTTTCCTTGTAAACTTCTGACTGTTATTTTAACTATGAATCAGGATATTAAATAATTTTTCAATGGAAATAAAATCAGTGGATTAATCACCATCACTTTTACTTGTATAACCACGATCGCTCCACGAATATGTCGTACTTGTGTGTGCGGCTGTTTTTTCACAGCCTTATTTCTTGCTTCCGTCTCCCATTTAGTCTATTTTCAATCTAACCTACTAGATTGCTCTCGTCGAAGATAAGTTTCCCTCACTGATCATTTAAAAGCTCCTTTGTTTATCATAGAACACTCATTAGAGGAGAAATGCAGCTTAACAGTTTGAGGCAAAACTAAACGCTCATTCTCAGATTTCTCGAGTTTCTTTTTGAGTAAAAATGACGGAAGGCTGGATGGGCAGAAAGGAAGATATCTATGGCACGAAGACACCGGCAGTGGCGGATCTAGAAAGAATTTTCGGTGCTGGCGAAACATATCTCATTTTTATGATTTGTCTATCAGACTGCAAATAACGTCAGAGTCGAATAAGATAAATATTTCAATTATGAAGTAAAATTTTCCCTACTCAAACCCTATTTTTTCGCTTTTTAAACTCTTCTGTAACAGCCGCACACACAGCTACAATATATTCGTGAAGCAAAACTTGTTCAAAACAGTCTGGGTTGTAATTTTCTATCATCTTAGTTGATTTTGAGTACTTTAACATACATTACTCTTCTTTCTAATGTTGAACAACACGACAGACCATTTTTACATAAGGGCAACCTAATTTTAAGGTTCAAATTCATTCTGCAGTTCTACCAACGATCGAGAGAATTCTGCATGTCAATAGAGGATTTATCACTCGTAAGTCTACCCTTAGAACACATTTATCTAACAAAACGTGAACAGACATGTTTTATCCCCCCCGGAAAAAAATAGTTTCAGTCGGTATTTCTCATATATTGTCACCATAACAAAATAGTTTTTAAAAACCAATGAGATATTCTGAAAGCCCATGCAGTTTTCTGTAACCCTATGTATTTACATTTTGATTTTCGGTTACGTATCATGGAAAAAAATCGGGTACAGCACAAGCACCCTCAACCCTAGATTCTCCGACACAAAACTTTTTTGTGCACTCAAAGTTAGTTTTTTAATTTTTTCACCATCATAAAATTATATTTAAAAAAAGCAACTACGTATTCTGATAGAGCTTCAAATTCTCTATCATCCTGTCTATTTATTTATGTTCTTGCATTTATATATAAAAAAAGAATTTGAATAAAGTAAAACGATGTCGACTTTACAAAGACAAAAAAATCGATATTTTTTTTACTGTTTTTTTGAATTTTTTCGAAATTTTTATCTTTAAAGAAATAAATTATAAAAGAAGAAACCATATAATTGAATAGCTCATAAAATTATCTATCATTGTATGTAAAGAGCAGATATGTTTCCGTAACAAGTTTGGACAACTTCGTTTATTAGTATAAAAAAAATTCATTTTTGTTCTTCCTAAAATGGACGACATGTGACCTATATCTTTAATGCTGTTTTTCGTTCTTCTCGTCCTATACACTATGTATTTTTTGTAGCCGTTGCACGGTTGTGAGACAATAACAGCGAGTGATTGGTTTTTTTATTTTATTAACCTGACCGGTTTCGAATTCTTCTTCGAAGGTTAACAAAAAACTGTATGAAATTAATTATTGTTTTTGAATATTACCTTAGAGCATGAACTTAGACAATTCAATAACACATAGAATGATAGATAATTTTATGAGCTATTCAATTATATGGCTTCTTCTTTTATAATTTATTTCTTTAAAGATAAAAATTTCGAAAAAATTTAAAAAAACAGTAAAAAAAATATCGATTTTTTTTGTCTTTGTAAAGTCGACATCGTTTTACT